TCATTGAACGAATAGTTGGCAAACATTTGCGGCAAATATTTGTCATAAAAATGATTTAAATAATAATTTTCAACAAATTTTGTTTTATAACAAACAAACGGTAATCTATATTCTGGTATTTTTATATTACATTTTTCATTTACCATGTCTTTTTCTTTAATTTTTGCCTTTTGTTTAAACAACTTGTATTCACGGCTTAAACCAAACTCTTTATTAATCTTTGTTTTGTCAAAAAACACATCCCTTTCCGTACAGATTGTAATCTCCGGTAAACGCAAACTATTGCTCGGCTTTATGTTAACGCTATAGACGTTGGGATAACTTAAATAATATGTTGTAAATTCTATGAGACCATAGGATAACACACAAAAACATATACATTTTGTTATCAATTTAAGTATTATTACATAACTAATGTTATATTGAGTTTTAAGTGAACAAATGTAATAATAAACAGATAATAACTTAAATGAAATAATATTGTATATTTTACAGAATATAAAGTTTAAATAACATAACAATGTACATAATATATTATATATTTTAATCAAAAACATAATTAATGAATTAGAGTGGTTATTATGAAAACATAAAATTAATTTATTATTTTAGATTCAAACAGGTAATATGTCTAGATAAAAGTCCAGACTTACTTTTTATTATTTATATATGTATTATTTGGGCTATATTAAAGTATTTCCATGGTAATATTTGCAATAATAATTTAATGTATTTTATAATATTTTTGTAACATGAAATATATAATTTATTATTTTATTTCATCAACATCACAGTAATTATTTTTATGTAATTCACATTTAAACAATAGAGTTAATGTAATTTTATTATTTTTACACTTTAAATATTTAATATGACATTTTTAATTATAGTCTGTACTATAAATATTAAATTGCAAATCAAAGTTTGAAAACAACATGATAATGATATATCGATTTTGTGGCAATAAGTTTACTTTATTGAGTATTAATAGTAGTATTTTATGTTTTATTTAATTTACTAATAAATCAAACTGTTATTTTACAATATATCAACAAAATCACACATTGTTAGTTAAGATAGATAATATATAAATATACAGTTCATAATAATTATTACCAGTAGACACGATAACAGTGTAGTATAAAATTAGTTAATTTATCAACATAATAATTGTTATTTTCATGCTATAAATATTTAATATAAAATTATGAACTATCCTATTTATTATTTTAATATAATTTATTTAATTTTACATTGTCTGCAAATAGTCTACAAATAGTACATATATAAATATTTAATTGCACATCAAGCTTTGAAAACAATTTAATAATCAATATCAATATTAAGTTTGATAATAATAGGTTTTCTTATGATTTTTGGCTTAAAAACAAGTCTCTCTCTCTCTCTCTCTCTCTCTCTCTCTCTCGTAAATTAACACAAAAACTTATTTAATTTTAAATTTTATACATTGGGCAAAAATATAAGTAATATTACATGCTTGGGTAAATTATACGTATATTCATGTACGTATATTAACGTTACAACATAACAATAACATAAGTTTTGACTACGATTTATTTGAAATAGATATTAATTATGTATACAATTGAGTATGCTTAATTATAAGCTAACATTTTATAACTACTCATAAAAATGAATAATCAACACACAAGTTTATTAATTACTTTTAAAAGTAATAAATTCCTTAATTTTTTAATACAAAGGATGGACTTTTGCATCCCACCTTGACCAAACACTTCTGTCCTTGACAATCAAGGTTAACCTTGCCCAGTTGGAAACCCTATCTATAAATTTAAAATTATTATTAAATAATTATATTATTATTATTAAATGTATTATTTTATACAATTCCCTAAAAACATAAATATAAATAAAATTAATAATTAATTAACTGTACCTGATTTAGTATATATTATAAAATAATTATTTAATATTATGTATGCTTTAGCAACTTTGTAATTTAATGAACCAACGCAATATATTTTAATAGAAAAAGTGAGTATGTTCGTTGATGTCAAGTAAATCCAAATAATTCTGATAACTATATTTATTGGTACAAATAATGAAATATATAATTGAACCATGATTGCATTGCCATACATAAACCAAACTATACAATAATATTTTGACCAATAAGTAGTATTGTATTCATTGATTTCTGCGTAAATACTATTCAACGATGTAATTATATGCTGAATATTATGTGAATTAATTGATAACTTATATATAGACTCGTAAACTGACGTTAATTTTAATTTTAAATAATAAGTAAGTATATAAAAATATACTAATTGCCATATTACAAACGAAAACGATCTGTGTATTATATACCCGAGCAGTAGCCCATTGGGAATGCCGTATAATAGCGCCGGTAGTATTGGTTTAAATACAATAAAAGTTACCATGATCAATAGTATACCTTGCAGAGGTAAAGGGTCTAGGTTCTGTTTGGTATATTTAAACAACAATCTAGATGTTTTGATTAATTTCCGGACAGATTGCGGATCCGTTAGACCGACACTATAGGGGGTAACCATACCTGACATCATAGCAAACACCCTGAGAAATGTGGGTTCAATATCGCACCAGTAGTTATAGTAATAAGTGGCCATGGTGCTCAGCATGAGCACCATGATGGAAATAATGAATAATTTTGTATGAAATCCACCGCCAATTAACTCGGAATAGTCGCCAAATAAATAGACATACGTTTCATTTGCCCCGTTATAATACATGCAAATTAAATTACCGCACGTATAGTATAACACTAGTAGTGTTATTACTAGTGGGTGTGAGTACCATGGTCGTATTATGGGCAGTTTTGGTTGGTGCAATGATAACCCAATTTTATACAGTAAATTTTCTGCTGATTGTATTTGCAATTCTTGAAGCAATAATGCGTTGCATTTAATTCTACTCATATTTAATATAATTAAATATATACTGTATATTTCTACTACTAATATTATATGTACAAGGTGGTTATTTTTACAATACTAGTATTTAAATAATAAATATTTAATATATTTATAAACAAAAATTTAAATATATTTTATTTAATTAAAATACAAGATACTATAATTTAAAATATCGAGATTATAAAAGTTTTATAGTTTATTTTTAAAAATGTCTATTTTCTTCAGATACTGTATAAAAATCACGATTAATTATTGATGTAACATCACATTAATGTAAAATAATTAATGATCTATATGAATGGCCCATGTTAAATGTGTCATGGTACTTTTGTTTGTCTTCTGTGTAGCACGACATTTAAAATCAATATATCTAGTACTCTAATATAAAATATGATTTATGACTTTTTGATTTTTAAATAATGCACTAATTAGAAATTATAACTTTAATATCAATAACAAAATCATTCATCATTTAATGTTGTATATTTATAAATAAATATACTGAATATACTCTGACAATAACTAATGATATATTTTATTTTAGTTATAATTTGAATCAAAAATATTTTTTCTACGCAACAATAATTTAGATTTTTATATTAAAAGTCATTAATTTTGTTTATAATTAATGCTAGTTAAGTATATATAACCATGGAAACATATTTATAAAACTGAATAAACAAAGTTATTGTAATTATGAACTTAATACCAAACTAGAAAATATTTAATTATAATATACATAATTATTAACCGGGTGATATATTTATAAATAGACAATTATAGTTAATTTTATAGTTCTTAATAATTTAGTTTGAGTTTTAATTACATATAAAATACACAATAAAATATTATATTTATATAGAAATTAAGCTAGTTTAATAATAACAATATCTAGTTAGTTTGAAAAGGATTAAATAAAATATTATATTGAGTTCTTAGAGGCTATGAGATTGTGTAATATCTTATTAGAAACACTCAAGTATAAACAATAATAACACCTGTGACATTTTCTTAATAAAATCATCAAGATCTTATCATATAGATTTTTAATTAGAAATAATATCAATTTCAAGACAATAAAAGTCTATGTGAATAAGATAAATCATACAACTTATTTATAAATTACCTTGACATTAACTTTACAATACTAAAGTACATCAATTTCCAAGTATTGCCATCAAAAATGATAACAATCATTGATAACTGTTTAATATATAAATCAGCTCAATACATTCAATAAAATTAATAAATATAAAATATATTAGCATAGTAACAATAAATTTTACGCAATATAGTCAATTGGCAATAATGAATGCGCTATATGTATTTACGCTAATTACTTGCCTAACCTGTATGTATTAATTATTATAATAAAATGTCATGTAACTTTATTTTACTTAACTAATGTATACTAAAATATTACATTAAATAAATGACCAGGGACAGGAATAAAGAGCGATGGCGAATGTGGCGACTGGGACCTGTTCGCCGACGAGTACTACAACATATGCTACAAAATCGTACCTGATCAATTGGCCGACTACGCTACCGCCCAGGCCGCGTGCCTGGCCATGGATGGCGCCTCATTGCCCACAATACACACGCAGGCGCAGCAGGACTTTCTGACCAACTTGCTATTTACCAAGCACAAAATAACCGATGGCGTGTGGATAGACGCTAAAGTTAAGAGCACAATACTAACCTGGGCAGATGGCACCACCGATAAATTTAACAACTGGGTACAGGGCAGACCTGTAGACGTTACTGATGTACAGTGCGTGGAGACTGTTAATGATAAGGCACCTGATAATATGGGCAAATGGCTAGATAGTAGTTGTAGCAAAAAGAACGCGGTCATTTGCGAGAAGGTTGTTTTATGGTCGCCTCAGAAAACTCAGCGTATGATTGCTGACGATCGCCGTCTAATTAAAGCAGGCTTATTTTAAAAGTACATTGACAATGGGTGTATTTTTTACATTTAATAACGTGTTTGTTTATTTAATGATTGTGTTAATAAAACATTTTTAATTAAGTGAGAAATTATATTAAAAATTTATAAAAACTTTAGTCATTTATTTTAGTATATTTTATATAAATAAAAACTTGTTTTGTGTAAACTTTTATTGTTTAATGACATCTTATATGGTAAAATTAAAATTAATTAAACATTGTGAAATATAAAAATAATATTAATTATAGTTTTAATAATATTATTTAGTACAATTAATGCTTGCTAGTGCGCCTGATACGCGAATGCGGACGATATGTGGGATTTTACGGTATTGATTAAAATATAAAAATCAAAAACATTTATATTAACTTTACGCCATGGCTGGGAATTAAGGTTTACCAAACGCATCCATAATTATAGCAATAAATGGCATAATGATCCTGCTGATAAATGCATACATAGTTATGCAATTTGATATGAAATAAGCAAGTTGAAAATAACGATTTTGAACCAAGCGCAATGTGAACGGTACAGTTTGTGTGGTCCTGGTTCCAGTCGATTGATGCTCATGTACCTTGGTCGACTTTGGCTTTGCTTTATTGCGAGCCATGATGATAAGTTTAGTAATTTTTTGTTGTATTAAATTGTATTAAAAAGATTTCAAAATTGTTTTGTATTAATAAAATTATATTTTTATAAATATTAATAAATAAACTAATATCTTAAAGATATTGCAAGTAGTGCACATAATAATGATTGATAATTATATATGGGTTTCACTATAAGATAATATAACTTCCTTATTGTTACCTAGGTTATGAAATATATTTTTAAAATAATAACAAATATACTGCAAATTATTGATAGAAAATTTTATTTTAAATAAATATTATAAATATTAAATAATAATAATAATAACATTATTATTAAAATATTGCTCAAAACAAATATCACTTTTTGATTATTGTACCTAATTGTTTAATTCTTTTAAATCTATAGTAACTAGATGAGTTATATTTTTACTAACCTGAAAAATGAAGTCACCATTGAAAAACAACTTTGATAGTAAAATTTAATAAATCAATTGTTTACATTGAGATTTCTTTTAACTTTATTGTCCAACTTATGGCACTAATTGAGGCAAAGGAGATACAGTGATCAATCTCAATAAAACGCATTAATCATGGTAGTTAACTGCAGTCCACTTGTCTGAAAAATGAGGTCACCATTTAAGAACAGATTTTTAATTAAAATTTTACAAATCATAATTGTTTACATTGAAATTTATATCAACTTTATTGTCTTAACTTATGGCACTCAATGAAGCAAAGGTTATACAGGGAGCAATCTAAATAACATGCATTAATCAAATTGGTCAACTGCATTCCACTTGTCTGAAAAATGAGGTCACCATCTAAGATCAGATTTTTAATTAAAATTTTATAAATCATAATTGTTTACATTGAGATTTCTTTTAACTTTATTGTCCAACTTATGGCACTAATTGAGGCAAAGGAGATACAGTGATCAATCTCAATAAAACGCATTAATCATGGTAATTAACTGCAGTCCACTTGTCTGAAAAATGAAGTTACCATTGAAGAACAACTTATTTAGTAAAATTTTATAAATCATAATTGTTTGCATTGAAATTTATATCAACTTTATTGTCTTAACTTATGGCACTTAATGAACCAATGTACGCAAGGCAAGCAATCTCAGTATAACGCATTAATCATGGTAGTTAACTGCAGTCCACTTGTCTGAAAAATGAGGTCACCATTGAAGAACAACTTTTTTAGTAAAATTTTATAAATCATAATTGTTTACATTGAAATTTATATCAACTTTATTGTCTTAAGTTATGGCACTCAATGAAGCAAAGGTTATACAGGGAGCAATCTAAATAACATGCATTAATCAAATTGGTCAACTGCATTCCACTTGTCTGAAAAATGAGGTCACCTTAAAAGAATAGATTTTTAATTAAAATTTTATAAATACTAATTGTTTACATTCAGATTTCTATTAACTTCATTGTCCAACTTATGGCACTAATTGAGGCAAAGGAGATACAGTGATTAATCTCAATAAAACGCATTAATCATGGTAGTTAACTGCAGTCCACTTGTCTGAAAAATGAGGTCACCATTGAAGAACAACTTTTTTAGTAAAATTTAATGAATATAATTGTTTACATTGAGATTTCAATTAACTTTATTGTCCCAACTTATGGCACTTAATGAACCAATGTACGCAAGGCAAGCAATCTCAGTATAACGCATTAATCATGGTAGTTAACTGCAGTCCACTTGTCTGAAAAATGAGGTCACCTTAAAAGAACAGATTTTTAATTAAAATTTTATAAATCATAATTGTTTACATTGAAATTTCTATTAACTTTATATGCAGGGTTATTTATACAATACAAAATATGCAGGGTTATTTTTTCGGGCAGAAGGCAATAGTAGTTTAAGTAACAGTGTTCAAAGGGATAATTCATCTAGTTTAAGCAAAATCTGTGTTAATACAGGTGACTATTGTTTGGAAAATAATCAATATTATCTAGATTTTTATCAAGTGAACGGAAAGCTAAAACCTCTCAATCAAGGTGTTCGCATTTTTAAGCGTACAAAATGAGCATGATTTAAATAACAATTGTCTTATAATTTAAATAAAATGATTTCTGATTACTTTATATAGTTTTATAATTCAAAATAAGCAGTAATTTTTATAAATAATAAAAGTTGCATACGTATATAATTTATAACTGTATGAATAATAACTTATGTGAGAAAACTATCTTATAATTATAACTTTACTATAATTATGAATAATACTTGTAAACAAAACACTTGCAGTGTTCAAATAGTTGCACTGTAAATGAATAACATTTATTTAGATAACTTTTTGTTTTAGCTAATAGTGTTTAATCTATTTAATAATTAATAGTACATTAAAAGTACAATCCATCTATATAATTTATTGTTAGATAATTAAAAGATTTATTAATTATGAGAAAATTTTAATCACCAATAAGATTATCTTAATGTGTAACGTAATTTATTATATAATGCTCATTCTTGAATTAAACATAAATGATTTATAAATATTAATTTATAAAATGAATTAATAATTTTAATTACAAAATCATACAAACAACCATAAACAGCTAGTGATTCTCTGATTACCATAGTTAAATTATCATTATAACTACCATGAGTGTGCAAAAAATGTAATAAACTGTACATAACTTTACATAACTGTATATTTTTAATTTTATTATTTTAAACTGTAATACGAAAATAAAATTATAATTCAATTAATGATAATAGGTATTCAATTTTATCTATGGCTTAAAATACCTATTCTTTAACTTTTTTTAGTGAATAATTGACTTTTTAATAATTATCTTGACTAGTTAAAATAAATAACACATTTCTTTTTAAATTTTGCAAAATATAATTATTTTAAATTAGAAAAACACATTTAGTATTAATTATATTTTTACATTTCTAAATAATGAATTGTCTTTTTCTTTATAAATTAATTTAGTAAATAGGAAAACAGATTAAAATAATCTATTTAACTGTATAAAACACTTATAATAAAAACTATAATTGTAATCTTATAAATATCAGGTAAGTTCTTTAAAAACAATTCTTTAGTTTCCTATGAAATAAGTGACCATGAAAATTATCATAAAATTTCTACCATGACTAGGGTTGTTACTTTACCGGTAATATTCAATTCAATCTTACATTACCAGTAATATTCGGTAATTTACGGTAATATTCGGTAAAATTGGTAATTTTTCACAAATAAATTGAATTAATGACCAGTTTTTTATGGAATATTAATTATATACTTAATTACGATAGATATCACTTGTAATATAATTTAAATCTACAGAATTACTATTAGAATTACAATTAAGTTCGGAATTTTTATAATTTTTGAAACAAAAATATTAAATAAAAACAATTTTGCAAGTTATTTATTATTAATAAAGTCATTATTTTCTCTCAATTTTA